GACTGCTAAGTGTAGCTGAAGCAACCGGTTTCTTGCCGCTTGTAGGCCTCGCTCGAGTATTTACCAGGGATGCCAAGCTGCTTCTGATTCGGTCGTATTGTTCATTATTTTTGTGGTATCTTCTGCACGATTAATTAATCGCCCAGTCACGTCTGTTTGGTCTTCTGTTCAGTCCTGACCATTGTTAAGTGCATCAGGAATTTAGGTCTTAAGGTTTGACCACTTCTCACCTGGCAGACTGGTTGTTTTTCATGCAATGTTCGTTATGCATCGCTCTCACCTGTACTCTTTGTCCGGATTGAAACAAATATAAATTTTAGATTTATTATTTATTTCAAATTTTATTCGCCGCTTCTCTCCAACAGCATTCTTGAAAATTTTAAAAAAAGATTTCTCCTTTCTAAAAGCAACGTGTTCATTTGCCTGGAATTATAGTGCGTTTCGCATTCAAATTGAACTACTGAAACCGGATCAAAAATAGAGCATTCAATTTTGTGAATGGAAATTATCGTCGTCCATTAAGCGTAGAATAATAACGAAATTTTGAAAGTCGATGTTCGATCGGCAGCTTTAAAATTTCAAGGACACCTCTTTTAGAGATGCGAACCGTTTTCACTTTAGGCTGGATTGCTTGCTAATGCCGGCGTCCATCTAGAAATTACTGTCGAATTTGTCTGTGGCCTCAGACTTTTCGATGGCATCCAATCGCACGGCTGTTGTGGGCGTAGCTGAGGCCTTCAACCCGCACGGCTTGGCAGGAGCCCTGTTGCTCATTATTATTCGTGGCGTGTGTGCTAATTCATCTTCGACCTGTCAAGCTGCTCATTTGGTGTGGATTGTGATCAGCTGTCGCAGTCACGGAGACCTTTTGTGCTGCTGCTAAAAATCCGTCTTTTATTATACCCACGAGCCGTGGTCCGCACACTAGAAGTGTTGCAAGTGCTTCGGTACCGCGAGTGCATGAAGAATCCGAAGCCTTACTAAGTAATAAATCAAGGATTTACACATGCTCTTTTCGGATCCTCGTACTGTCTACTTTGAATACGAACCCAAACTAACGATAACTTACTTCAATAGACGACCTCCGATTTTCTGGCAAGCCTCTTGTTCCATTTTACTCAATGGCGTTACTGATTAAATGGTTGTCATTTTGGTCCGTATATATAGCTGCGAAGAGAGTACATGAGTATCTCAACTAGATATAATTCGTCATTAATAGAAGAATCTGAAGATGACCAAGTAATGTAAAATTTTCATCGACGTTCAAGCGTTTTTTATTCAGAATTTATTTGTACGGCTTTCTCCTTCACCAATCCAATGATCTCCTTGGTTCTGATAACAAGGTCGCACTCATGCCGCCCCATACGTACGACTGACCAAAGAGCCGCTGCCTGTATATTATTTCGTCCATATTGCAGCCCGAGGGCCGCTTTTTGGCTGCGGGCGAAACTCCTTTTCCTCCCTGGATGATGTGCCGATATCATGATGTTTACTGCCTCGCTCCAGCCTCCTGCCTTCGTGATGTTCGTCGTAAATTCCGCGACGCGATGTCTTCAGCGATCTCGGAACCACTCTGCTGAGTCACGGTCACTCGCCAGCTCCTATGGACGCCGTTTCTGACTCGCGATCGAGTCTCATCCATTTGCCTACGTAATGGCTGCGTACGCGCACTACTCCCATGACTGTTGCGTCGCGCTTAGTTTTTGTGCTTGCTGCTTGGAGAAAGTAACGATGGGGGAAACGTGGCAGACTTGATGCATCTCATAATTACTCGCTTTACTGGCGTGGCTCAGTGTCAGATGTTCTAATGCGATGCGTAGGATTGTGCTGATATCTTCAGAAGGATTTGAATTTCTTATCTCAAGCCAAATTTGTTTGATATTCCAAAGAAATTAATGCACAGTTGTCTTTGATGTGAAGATAATTTGGCCTTACGTGCCTGATTTTATCAAATACCGTACCTGAGTTTATTCTGAATTTAAATTTGATAGTTTTACTATATATAATAAACCTAATGACTACGTATTGACCTGTTCTTTATTTTTCACCTGCGCTTGGAATGAAGTTTTATGCACGATTTTAAGACCAATTTCTCGTCTGCATTCATTTGTATTCCATTTTACCTTGTGGCATCATCTGAAAGCGATTCTAGTGTAAATTAATTTTACCGTTGGACTCCTCAATTAACCTTTTGTTTATTGATATGATTTCGGTACACCAAACGAATTCATCAGTGCACACAGTGTACGCTCGTTCAGTTATCTGTCACAAGTTTATCCAAAGTCAATAGTAGTCTAAACAACCATATCGTAATTTTGAGAAGTGACTGGAACTGATTTACGATCCTGCAACTGACACAAGTTTTATACCGCTACGTCTTGGTTATGAAGTTCGTGCCAAGAATCGTCGCGCAACTGATGACATGATGGAAATTCTAGGTGGATTTGTGTGGAACAGTTTCATCTAGTTTTTTCAGTGTTTCTTAGCCGTATCGATGTATAAAGCCACTCTTTACTTTTCTCATTCAGGCAATTAAGTCCTATAGAATACGTTTAAATGAATATTCCATTCCTGTATGTTATGTACCAAGCCTCGAAATCAACTCAGAAATTCCAGCCTGATCGATAGTTTAGACATACCTGTGCCGTCTTTCTTACGATTGAAAAATTGACACAGGATGATTAACGCATAGTTGTACATTAAACGTCAGCTTCTTTAGGTTTCATCAAATAAATTCGAATGAAATTATCACACGCTTCCATTCTGATTCCACGTTTGCACAACATCTAGCCATTTTGTTCTCAATAATAGTTGTGCGTCACCGCAATGGGAGTATAATTATCGTAATTGTAAGTGTCGTAATCACGGCTTGACTTGAAAGGATCTTTGGTTTGCAAGACCCGACAATGACCTGCGTGCTTCGGAGCGTGACCTGCTGCGCACAACTGACCTGTCACTGACCTGCATTGGTACTTGCCCTTCATCCTCTCACTTTTCATTGCCGCTATAATCGTCAAGTAATTTTTCTTTCGAGTTTTAATCGAAATGGTTTTTAGAATCGATCGGCAAATCGGTTCAGTATCCTCACACAGCTTGGTTCATGCGAATATATTTTGTTTGTTTCCTGGGCCTATACTTTCAAAAAAAGTTGAGAGATCGTAAGTTCATCAACCAATCATTGACGGACTTCTAAGCAAAAACCACCAATTATGGACAAGAAAATAGAGCGTAAGCACTTACGTTCACTTAGCGAATTTTGAAAGTATGGCCCCAGAACAATAATAGTATAAGGTCGACTACTCAGTGTCACTGAGCGTCAAATACAATCGTATAAGTTCATCCTTATCTTATTTGATAAAAACAAAATGCATAATAATTTTTAATTCTCTGAAAGTCATTGTTGAGAAATTTGATAGTGATAAGAATTGTAAGTACTAAAAACCAGCGTTATTTAGGTTACTACATCATACGAACCGTAGGCGTTTTTATGGTCTTGATATGATTGTAGTCTATACACGCGCAGTCACTGAATTAAGAGAATTTCTAACTGTGTTCATCTCATGCCCGATTCCAGCGAAGTGAAGTTCAGCCAAGCATGTGATCAAATTCTTTTTCACATTAGTATGAACACGGCATTCATTTCTGCAGAAAATTATTGGAGGCTGATGCTGCGCCAGCCACTTTAGGCGTAGTAAATTTAGTTAAATTAAATCAATTTTTATTTTCACTTGAGAGAATACTAAGAAGTCATGTGAATCGAGTGCGTGTGACTCCAGCTTTAAGTACGCTATGTGAACACGACAGTTGAAGTTAGCTTCAGGACAAATTATTTGAACCGATGAGAAAACTTATCAAGAGAAAAATTGAAAACCCAAACGAAATAAACTTATTTGAATAAAATCTCAGTTTGCTACTTCGATTATCACAGATATCATTTCAGTTATTTGAGTAAGATCAATAGCCCCGAATGACAGGCTGTTATGATTGAAAACATTATAACATGTGCTATTATATACTAAATAGTATATTAATTGCTCCGGCTGCCTTCGTTTGTCAACCGGACGTCGTGTTAACTGCACGGCTCACGTCGTCGGTCCTGCCTTTTTTAAACGGCGTAATTGTCTCTCGGACATTTCGATCGATTAATTGGGCTTCGCGTAATTCAATAACCTACTTATTTTATTAAGAGATTGACATGTTTAATAAAGTATTTCGTTAAATTCTATAAAGCCTTTTTCTATCGTCTAACTACTCATTTGGCTCTATCTTGGGGCGGCGTATCGTCGCCCTTCTCTCTGGCAGAATAAATATCATTTTAACTACATCGCGCAGACCGTTGCTCGTACTGCAGTCTTAGCATTATTAAAAATCTGATCAACTTCGCTTCCAGACTTGATTCATAGTATAATATGACTATCCTCTAAATTGTTGTCAACAATATCACTGCTACCTCGGAATTCTTTGCGATTCCGCGTATAGAATATAGTGGGCAGAGGCTTTAATTGGACGCTCTCCAGCTTCATCCGCGACCGCGATTCCTGGCGACGTCCCCACTCAGGAATGTGATGCGTGGGCTCGGGAACCGGCCGGTCTAGACATGCGCTTCATCTCCATGCTTACGAAGTTACGCCTGCATTGCTGCTGCTGCTTCCGCCATTGCTGCAGCTGCTGGTGCTGCTGCATAGTAATATCAATGCTTACTGCTGTGTAAACCTTTTCCATAAATTTAAATGTTACTTTCGTGCTTACTTTGAGTTTCGCCGATATTTTTGATACATACGTTTAGTAATATTATGACACGGTCTGATACAAATAAATCTTTTGATTTAACGTACTGCTTATAATGACGCATAGAACTTTTTTTCATTTAATACTCTTGTTTCAACAACAAACAGGTATTTTTGTTTCCTCCCTCCAGGTTTGTTGTTCATTAACTGGACTACTTTTTTACTGTAATTTTTGTTTCCCCGTATTTAAGTCCCATTTCTTGTGTGTTGCAGGGCGGCTTCGCGCGTGTGCACGAACTCACGGATCTCACCACCAATGTCGCCTACGCCGGCAAAATCATCCCGAAAAGCCGCATCACCAAACCTCACCACAAAGAGAAGGTGCGTCGTCGTCTATTTTGTTAGGAAATAATGGTTTGATTGAGTTTGAAATTTTTCCATTACAGATAAGAAAAATAATTTCGCAATGTCGTTAAAGCTTGAAATCCTAATTCATGCCTGCGGCTACATATAATAAGGTAAATATCTTCAGCTTATTGCTACTTAAGTTAGTCGAATCTATCATCAGAATATAAGCCAACTGGCAGCTTGACCCGGTGTTACCTGGGATAGATAACCTCTGCCATTTGAGAATCCCGCTATCTCGAGTCCTGTTGTCTCAAATCCCATTAAATCGATTCCCGTTGGTAGTATTCAAACTGAAGTGATGTCGGTAAGAGGAAAATGCGTTCAAGCCCGCATTAAAATAGAATTCCGATAAAACTTTCGTTTCAACGTTTTGAACGAATTTCGACCGGTTAATTCTTAGAACACAAATTTTTTCCACTGAATTGAAGCGAAACATTGAAATTTTTGTTTCATCCCCGTACTCCCTGTTTAAAAATAAAATGTCTGATGCAGGTAATATCACGTGACCATAGGTAATGCGGAGACGCGCTCGAATAGCTCATTTTTATGTTTACAGTAACAGGCTTCGAACAAAGAAACAAACTCACATACTTCACGAATGTGTTAAGATTGTCCAGTCATGTCGCTCTAGCTCTACAATTGTACTACTAATTTAGCAAGACATTTTGCTCGAAGTTTATGTTGGTAGATCGTGTTTGAAATCGTGATTCAATAATCGAGATGCTTATTTTGAGAGCAATTCTCTACTGGATTGAGAACGTCTTGAGTGCTTGTCTTGTACGAAGACTCAGCACCTGCTCGGCAGCTGCGTGAGATGGTGGAGAAGTTAGGACACGCACACACGAAATTCCGCTCGGCAGGTGCTGCTTCTCGGAGCCTCTCTGTTCCTTGCGCTGTTTGTCCTGCTGCCGTTTCGTGCACCTGCCGCCTGTTATTTGGCTAGTCTTTATTTCTTCTCTAGGTCTACAGTAGATTGATTTGAAATTTGTGGATCTCTTTTTGTGAACGAATTTCGTAATTTTATATTTACTATTAGCTGCAAATTTACGATAAGTTTATAGGGTTAGGCGGAGTCATCTGCTGTGATATTTCTTTTCGTCTCTGAAACACCCAAAATGGGACTGACCAAGTAAATCGTGATGCGTAGGTTATCTCCGAAACTCCGAAATAGCAGGTAGTTAAAGTGTGTAATGAAGTGCTTAATAACTACACACCATTAGCGGGATGGTGGGTCTAATGGAGGCTACTTTGCTTCGACCGTCCACTAATGTTCCCACCTCAGTGACTATTACATCGACTGTGATCTGTCAACCAGCTCATCCTGTCCTTATCTTGCTTGAGCTCAGCGCCACTGCATTTGTGCCCCCAGAAATGTCGTTTTTATGGCAGAACATGAGTGATCTTCTGTTTCTGGAATGAAGCAGTCGTAGTTCCCTGTGAACTTTGTCACTTAAATGGATGGCCGGTAAATCATTTTTAATGGCCTGGGCTCTAAAATTAGTGCCTAACTAAGAGAAGGTTACTGTTTCTTTTTTGTTTTTATCTGTAATGTAGTTTGCTCCTAGCAATTATGCTAATCTATTTACTTGGGTCATATTCTTGTATGCGATGAGGGCGAAAAACCACCTATTTTTTCATTTAATTACATTTTTATACTACTTGCTTTGTCGCTTGTACATCAAGCTGTGAGTAGAATATTTTGTTGACGAATGAGTTTGAGTGAAGAAGTTATCATTGCGGGTAGAAATTTCTGGTGGATACACATCCGACAGATTTAGAATTTATTGCTACCATTCACTCGGAGTGCTAGATTACTGTACTACAATTCGAGGCTGAAGTTCTTGAAAGGAAGCAATGTTTTCTCTCGCGAGCTTCACGGCCTCGTGGCCAACTCTGCCCCGAAACTTCAACTCTTTGTCGAGACTGCTAATGTAAGCTCGGCGTGTCTCACTGATCTGCTTCAGACGCTTGTCCAAGTGGGAGCTTTCAAACTTTGCTCTGCGGTAGTCTTAGATTTTCTTCTGCGATTATGCTCAAATTATTGTTTTTAGATAGTCCGCTGCAGTTTGATCGATTCTCTAATTACCGATGATAAATATCGTGATGATGAAAGTACCTGCTAATGTCTATAAGTAGACAATTTACTTAATTTTCCAATTCTTACGTTGTTGGACAAATTTTCGTCGTAATTTATAATTATATCGAAACATTCATGACTGAAATGGCATCTAATATTGCTTAATCACAATCCCGATACTCTTTTTTCAACACCAGCTTTCGAAGTGTAACAACGATTCTCATCATCAAGATAAAGTATAATTATAATTTTCCTTGTCAAATTTGTCATCTGAGTTTCTCACACGAGATCCCAATTTTCGATCCGTCTGCTCGTAAATTCAGTGGCATGAGTGCTGCTCGAGTTAAAAAACAGTCTTGCACAAGACATGATAGCACAGAAGTGGACCTAGCGCCGCACTTGAGATGAAACATTCCCTCAGTTCGGTCGCACTGCTCTGACATCTGACCAGACTAGCCTTGTTTCAGTTAATAAATCTAAGTGATAGCTTGCCCGTCAATTAACAAAGAGCGGCGGACGCAGCACAGCTGAGCTCTCACTCGAGGCTCCTCCGTGCGTCGCCCCAGACAGCCTCTGATAACCGACGACTTCTCAAGAGGTAAATAACATAGCCTGCGATGGCCCCGCGTACGCTTACCTAAAAAATTGTCTAAACATTCCTACTAACATCCCACGATGTGCATGCTTCAATGTTTCCTAAATGCGGGCTGTAATTTTACTCTAAATTTTAATTGAGGTTCATGTCGCGCTCGAGGCCTTCATCTCATTCGTCTAACTCTAAGCTCATGTTGCCATCAATGTGTACGAGCCAGGATCACTGAAAATATGTATGCTCTGTATAAATATAAGGTTCTCCATGCCCTTCATTACTGGACGTAAATGCAATAAATATTAGCTCTTTTCCTACGCTCTCTGCAGCGAGTTTAGACTTTTTTCTGTATTGAAAACTAAATAATGTCGTCGTGCGTCTGACTCCTGTTGCACTGGACTATGCAAGGCAGCAGCTAGGTATTTATTGATTAATATGAAGCCTCATTCATATGACGAAGCCGCCAGGTCCCGTGATGTACAGTGACCTTACAACTTATGGATACCTGACAACATTTATGGTTTACTGCTGCTGCTAATCGGTTGGAAGGATATAGCATACTGTATATTGCTGCAATTAAAGCAGCGGTGGCCAAATTTTTACCCCCAGTGCCGGCCCTTTTTACCGCCAGTTTATCGACCCTTTCTATTCGATGACAACCACGTTTTACAGTTACGGCGCAGAGTGATTCTCTATTAGGCACATTTCTTCTCAGGGTATGTATTGACATCTGACGCTATCGCGTTCTTTAAAATCCATGTATCATTATTCACGTGTCTTTTTCTAATTGATTAATTGAATATTTCCGGAACACTATTTAATTTATCTCATTCTTGGACTTTCATTGCTAAGAAGAATGGAATTAATTAAAATAGATTTAATATGAAATTTTCAAGTTGTGTGCCAACTTTTTCGTGTCCAATTAATTTTTTAAATTCATTCGATCATATCTGAAAGTCAACGGTTTTCCCTCTTGAACGAGTCGTGACAAATTTAATCATGGTTGCCGGTCACACTCACTTCCTGCAAAACAGAGTCAATGTATCGAAAATATGTGTAATATTTACTAATTATTGTAAGAGACTCGTCCTAAGAAGCTCCCTGATATAACATTAATTTAATTGTATTACATGATATCACTATTGTTTTGTGCTCATGCCAACTTCAATTGATGAAGCAGAACACTTTCCATGTCTCTGCGATCACGTTGAGTTCGCCCATAGAAATTTCCTCGTCTCCCTTGATTGAAAGAAAGTCTCGTTTAAATTGATCTCAAGTTCTATTAAGAGAACCACGGACGTGATGGCTTCACTTCCTTGCCCAGTTTCTCGCAGCTCCTGGGTCAAGAGAGACTCCAGCGACTGTGAAACGAAGCACGACATTGTTGTTCAGTTTTCAGCATTTATAATTCAATGAATTTTTTTAACGAAACAGAGATTTTTTGTATTCTCTGTAATCATTGATTGACATGGAATGTTAAGAATCTTGGATGTTTATGTGTGCTGTGTATGTATATAGTATTCCACGTTTCTGTTTGTCTCGAATGCGATTTCCATTTACATTGAAAAGTTCTCATTCGAATATTGATAAAGAAACGCTGATGTCGTTTATTTTTATTTAATTTTTTTTCAATGGAAAGGGTTTAGGATAGAAATTCTGTTTTGTTTATTGTGTGCTGTCAAGGATACATCACGTTCTACTTACTATTCATTAAAATTTATTCACCTCCTATTCGTAAGGGAAGCGTAAACTTCAACTATTTGTAAGGAAACGCTCAAGTTCTTTCATAGTTCCGAGATAAAAGCTTATGTTAAGTTCTTTTTAAGTGGAGAGTGAGGCGGCATTTGATTCTTTTGATCGGAATGGCACGCGTGTACGTGTCAGTTGCCACCCGAGCCGCGGTGGAGGTCGCCCAGGTAATCGGCTTACGGCACGCGCAGCGCCCATCTCATCGTTCGTCAAGCTTATACGCGCCTTCTCTATAAGATGTCATTAAGCGCCGGCCTGCTGCCCCCTCCCGATCTCCGCGTTCTTTCTGGACCATTGCATCGCTCAAGCGATACTTTTTGAACCTTTCAATAGGAGGTTTATTAATATCCCATTACTATCGACTATAATCGCTCCGCACATTAAGTGCTGTTGTGATGACACACGCTGTGGTATTTACGTTCATGCGAGCCTTTGATTGTGATGCAGCATATACTTTTGAACAAAATTGTAGGAATTTCACTATTGTTTTTGCAAGGACTAGCTAAATTTTTTGCATAAATATGTCTTATAGTATATATCTTAAATCATGCTTATTCA